TTTTTTTTTTTTTTTTTTTTTTTTTCTCCCCATTCCCCTTTTCTCTTAATATCGTTCCAAGCGTAAGGCGACGCGCAACGAAGGCGCATGAAACGCGCGTATTACTAGACTTTAAACGAGAAAGAGACCGTATTGAGCGTACTGTAAGATGATAGCGGAAGAAATTTTTTATAACAAATAGTTTATTTTATAAAGAAATCTATATTATTATACAAAATATATAGAAGCGATGAAGAAAAAAAAAATATATATATATATATATATTATATTATTTTATATTATATTATATTATTTTTTATATTTTATTGCCTTGTATTTTAATTGTTGAGAGATCATGGACAATAGTTCCAATCGAAACTATACTATACTATACGATCGATCGATCATAACGATCTCGTGAACATTTTTTATTTTCTTCTTCGATAATTCAACGAACTAATGTCCCTGGTCTCCAATTTAGATAGCTAATGGATAATCCACGCGTTGTGATCAATCCCGTGTCAAATAATCGCGAAAGAAGCGTGAGTGAGTGCGTGTAAATAAAGTTAAGCTCCTTCCGGTCCCACAATTTCTTTTTTTCCGCCTAAGTTTACCGCCAACAACGACTACGACGATGACGATGACTATGACAACGACAGCGACATGATAATGATAATAATGATGTTGACGATGATGATGATGATGATGATGATAAAGAAATTTCAATAAAAAGTACAACCCTTATGACACCGTTTCGTTTTTACTTCTGGTTTATTGCACCCGAACAGTAACAGGCCGAACGAATTCTCTCACGTGGTAAGAGCCCGAGTCGATGTCCGCGCAAGTTGCATTCAAATCACCGGGAACGCAGAATCGTAGGTAGACGTGCCTTCCGGGAGCAACTGGCACAGTCCAACGATGAGAAACAGAACGACCAACGCTAGATTGAACACATTTTTATTTATGATTAACGGTGTCGAATAATATTCGCATAAAATAATGATAATAAATACGGAATTTTAATAATTATTTTATTTATTCATTTGCGTGCGCCAATAGCAAAGGTATCAAAATTTATTTAGAGATTGATCATGATTGTAACAAAAAAGGATAAAAATTAAAATTTATCATTAATTGTAAATGGGAAAAGATATTTTGAATCCCTTGAATATTTGATTCTATTTATTTATTATACAGAATTCCGGTATTTTATTCGTATTTCATTCGTCAAAAAATTTCAAATTCATTCTTTTTGTATTTAATATAATCCAATCCGCGTTTACGAAAAAACTATATTACGTAGACTCAACAAATATAAAAAATATATAATAATAATTAATAAAAATATCTTACGTGTCGATCATTATTTCTCGAATGATCCCGAATAACTCTAAAACTCGTTCTAAAATTAATATAGCCGGCAAACGATGCCGACGGTCGACGAATCCGGATCTCGTCAACAAAACCAAGCACGGATTTAAATAGATCATTTTATCGAGTACAATACGGTGTTCATTATCATCGAAAGCGCGTCTGAGATTAACAAAGGCCGCGTGTGTAGGCAATTTTGTGAGAGAAGAGGATCGGGCGATCATCGAGGGCGATTTTGACCACGATACATGAGCCGCGTATACAACCGCGTGACTGTTGAATGAACGACTTGCCGAAATTACAATACAATAGCTCAGAAGAGCCACTTGACGAATACCCGGTAAATGAGTCAGCCTAGCTGCTTGGCCGAATAAGGTCCGTGTGAACCACGGGCATCTAAGAGCATCTTCATGACGACAAATACGGGATATACCTTGAGAAAGCGCAATAACATCAAAGTTACTCTCTAATAACGAGAGATATGTGAAACGCGTTTAAACATTTTGTGAATATGCTATATAATATGCTATGGGTATTTAAAAATAACTACATCGTAGAGTTGTTTGAACACGATCAAACATATTTGATATCTGAAATGACACCTGATCAAGGAAAATGAATGTTGTTGCAAATGAAGAAAATAATTAATTATCTTTTTTGATTTGAAAAAAAAGTAGCATGAGATTATGGAAAAATGACAAATTTCAGGATAAAATTAATTCTGGAAAAGAAATCTGATTTTTTTAGGAAATATTTATAATTAACTAGAGTTATTCAATGGAAGAATTCGATGTTATTGTTAGTTGTGATAATTCATATTATAAAAATATTAAATAAATTATTGGTAATAAATAAATTGAAAAAAATTAATTAAAAAGTTTAATTAATTGAAGATAAAAAAAATGGATCCTTTAAAAAAATCCGAAGTAATTTTATAATCTTTTTTTCTTTTTTTTTCAACTAATTTTTGAATTTATCATGTGATATTTGTATTTTAGAAAATAATTGAGCCCAAAGATGTATCAAATTATTATTTAGACTATGAAGAAGAATGGAATAAGAAAGAATGGGAATTTCTGGAAGATGAAGAAGAAGAAAAAGAAGAAATCAAAGAAGAACTGGACATTTTTGAAGATTTTTTAATGGAATTTGAAGATTTGGCCGAGGAAAAAATCGAAGAAGAAGAGCTACGAAAAGTGATTGGTGTAATATTATTTTGGTAAACCTAACTTAAAGAAAAAGGATATCATTTATGTGCACAAAAATATAAGAATGAGTATTTAATGTTAAATCTATAGATATAAAAAAAGAAAAAGATGTATCGGAAGAAACACTGATCACCTCAGAAGAAGAATCCATCGTTTCTGAAGAATTGTCTGTAGAAAGTTCCATTCATCCTTGTCTTAAAGACATAGATATCAGTGATTCTCGATTGAAATTGCAAAATCTTTATACAATGTTTCCAATCCCTGATGATCCTGGCTTGATACCAGCTTTCTGGACCATTCAGGAACGTCGACCTTCTTACGCAGATGACGGTATAATGAAATTTTTCGATTTAGTTAAAGCATCCTATATGAGACCTATACAAGCAATGGAAGACATGTTACGAACTAATAAAATCAATTTACAATATTACGGACTCAATTCCCGTATCATTAAACCCTTATGTGAAGCTTTGATGAAAAATCCTACTGTGAATACGATCAATCTTACAGTAATTTGATATTTTCTTATTTTATTTAATATTACTTAATTTTCATTACTTAATTAATAAAGAAAAAAGAAAAAAGCAAAAAATTCTTAAAATTTTTGCATTAAATAATTGTTTTACAGGGTAATTGGTTATCAGAGGATGCCTGTTATCATTTAAATGAACTGTTTTTGAAAAACAATATAATACACACTTTGTTATTATCAGGATGTAAAATCGGTGCAAACGGTGTTGCGAAATTATATGATGGAATTTTTATGAATGAAACACTGAAAAAATTAGATCTTTCCGATTGTAATTTACGTAAAGAAGGTATTGACTACCTTATACAGGCAATTTGTAATAATGAAAGTATTGAAACTCTTTTATTGAATCACAATCATCTCGACGAATCATGTTCAGATGCTTTGCAAAAATTAGTCAGTTGTTCAAAGACAATAAAACATTTAGAATTATCTTGGAATTCCTTATACACAACAGAAACTTGGAAGAAATTTATTAGAGGACTCGAGGAAAATGAAACTTTACTCGATCTTGATTTATCTTGGAACGCTTTAGGAAAAGAATGTATTTCGTATTTGCGTCGATTATTATTGCGATCTTCAACATTAAAAAAATTGCATCTGAATGGTAACATAAAGATAAAAATCAAATATTTATTAAGATTTTTTTTAGTATTGATATTTTTTCATTTCTTATTAAAATATAACATAATGAATATTGATATTTAATAAATAATCAAATGTCTCCTTTATATCTCATATTGCTTTTATATTCAGGAAATCGTTTTACTAATGATGATGTAACTATCATCGCAAGAGCATTATCAAGGAATGCAACACTCGAGGAGCTATATATAGGTGACAATCCTTTCAAAGCTGATGGTGCATTTGCTCTCGTTAAAGCAATTACGCCAGAGAAATCATCAGAAAGTCAGCTACGTATTTTAGATCTTACGAATATTTGGGCAAACAAGAATATAATACCAGAACTTGAAACAATTCAAAATAATAAACCATGGGTCGACATTAAGTTGGGAGGTATATTTAGTAACTATAAAATTGAAGGTCCAGATGTAAAAGCAATACTTTTAAAAAGAGCCAATTATGAAGCCATGAGACCAAAGAAAAAACGACGTCGTAAAAACTTTGGTCATTTTGTGTTATCACTTTCTGATGATCTCATTTCAAAAGGTATATGAAAATAAAAACAATATAGTACTTACTTTTATTAAATTAAAATTAATATTACAGGAAAGTTTTTAGAACTAGTGCAAAATTTCCAATTAATCTTATCTAAATCTTTATTAAATGAACTAATGATTGCATTTACTGGTATAAAAAATACTGTCGATCAAGGCTTATTAAAATCTGTTTATATGAAACAATATCCGAATACAAAACTTCCAACAGAAAAACCTAAAAAAATCAAAAGTAAAAAAAAATTAAAAAAGAAAAAATAAAAGAAACTAAAGAGGAAGAGAATCTATGAAAAAGAATTTTATAGTTTATTTATAATATCTTAATTTTAATAGTTTAAATAAAGTATAATTATATAATAACTCTGCTTTCTAATATATAAGAAATAAACGTATTGTATTATAAAACATTATAATATTAGCAATGTAAGTTGTAAAATTTAATTTCTTTTTTAATATTAATCTATATAAAATATCCTAGCAGAAATATCATCAACAATCCAATTTATTCCTTCTACAAGATTTTCTCCTGTAATTGCTGAACATTTATATATTTGCCAATGATGAGTCTTAATATTAGGTAATTCCAAAATTTCTGCAATATCAGATGCAGATAATGCTCCAGGTAAATCCTGTTTATTTGCAAGTATTAATAAACTTGCACCTTCTAATCTCTCCTCTTGCAAGAGTTTATATAATTCTATTTTACAATCTTCCAATCTTCTTCTATCTGCACTATCAATTACCCATACAAGACCATCAGTAGATTCAAAATAGTTTCTCCAATAAGAACGCAATGATTTTTGACCACCTACGTCCCATATATTTAATTTATATCCACGATGTTCTAAAGTTTTAATATTGAAACCAAGTGTTGGTGATATTGTGTCAATTGGTTCTCCATTAATTCTTTTTAAAACTGTTGTTTTACCAGCATTATCCAAACCTCTATAAATATATAAAATATATGAAACAATCAAAATATATATAAAAGAAACA